CTGCCCCCCCCCCCGCCCCGCGCCTGCCGCACAGCTGGGCAGCTCAGGCCCTCCTAAGCCCCAGCACGCTCTCGCCCTCTCCCACACAGCTGGGAGGTGTCAGGCAATCCAGAGTCCCTCCAGAGCAGCACCAGGGTGGGTGTCCATCCCAGAAGCCCACTCCCCATCAGAGGACAGGCCTCCCTCAGACTCACGGGATGGGGCAGGAGTTAGAACCACGAGATGCCACAGAGGCCGAGCCCGCTGGGTCCTGAGGCCTGGGAAGGCTGCCGGACGCCTGGGCCAGGGCTCCCTGAAGGCAGCAGTGGGCGCTCACTAAGCACCTGCGGGGCAGTGGGGCACCAGCCTGTGTCAGGTCCCTGGGGCCCTGTGCAGGGGGAAGTGAGGCCCGGGAGCCTGCTGCGTGGCTCCTAGCTCCCCAGGTCCCCTTCCGCTGTCTCAGGGGTGAGCGAGGTGGAGGGGGCTCCCTGTAGTTGCCCGCACAGGAGGCTGCAGGAGAACGAGGCCCGGGGAAGGGAGGCTCAAGGACTGGTTCGCAGGTTTGTGGCCTTGTGTGTCAGTGAAGGACTCTGGGCAGCCAAAGAGCAGACAGGAAACAGGCCAGAGAATCCCAATCAGGCCGCCTGTCCCGTACCACAGGAGGGCCTGGCTTCTGGCCACACTGCCTGGCCCCCTTCAGCACAGGGCAGCCGTGCAGGGGCCCCGGGTCCTCCCTGGCCCAGGTCATACCCTTCCTCGACCTGTCCACATCCTCTGTAGACAGACTTCCTTCCCGGAAACCTTCACCCGTTAGTGTCGACTGCGGGGGGGGGGGGGTTACACCTTGAGCATTCCATCCCTCCGTGCCAAGTCCCTGGGAGCCTTGTGCTGGGTCACCCTCCCACTGCCCCCAATCAGCCAGCGTGCTGGCAGAAAATGCCCCTTTTGGAGAAAGGCACAGGCCTCCAGGAGACGCCAAGCAGGGGGTCTCCCCTCCCGTAGCACGCCAGGAGCACGAGGACTTCCCTGGGCCTGGGCTAGGCTCAGGAGTGGAATGGACAGACCACTGTCTTAACCCACTCTCTCCTCCTTCCCCCCTCCCTCCTTCCCCCTCTCTCTCCCTCCTCTCCCTCCTCTCTCTCCTCTCCTCCTCTCCTCTCTCCTCTCCTCTCTCTTCTTTCTCTCTTCCTCTGTCTCTCTGCAGCAATTCGGGAAAATTTTAGACGTGGAGATCATTTTTAACGAGCGAGGCTCCAAGGTGGGTGCCGTGCAGAGGCCGCCACCATTACAGCGCCGGCTCTAGGTCCCGCCAGGCTAACCTGTGAAACGTGCGTTTCCTTCCTGGAGAGCTCCGCGCCCGAGGACCCCTGAGCAACACCGGTGCTTGTACTCCCCGCTCTCCCGCCCTCGCCCCCAGCTGTCTGTGTTGTTGCCGCCAAGCTGCCTTTTCTCTCTGAGCTGCCAGGGCCTGGGCCTGGGCCCCTGCCCCCACCCGGCCACTCACCCCAGGACCTGGAGGCTTGGGGGAGGGGTGCAGGGTGGGCAGGCCGGAGGGTGCCAGCAAACGCCAGCCCGGCCCCGCCCCCTCCAGGAAGGCGAACCCTCCCACCCCGGGCTCCTAGGGCGAAGGTGGGTGTGGCTGCGGCCCTCCCGCATGTCTTGATGCCCAGCCTCGGCCCCCCATCCTGAGGCCGGGTCAGCATCTCTTCGTAGCTTTGGCCTGTGCCCTGGAGGTGCCAAGCAGTCAGGTCAGGCTGGGCTCAGGCTGGGCTCACGGCTGCCCCCACCTGGGGTCCACCTCCCACCCCCCACCCCCGCATCCAGGGTCCCCACCCCGGGCACCCCTCTGGCTTCATGGAGCTCTCCTTCACTCACCTGACTGGACCCCTTCTCTTTCTCTCTCTCTCTCTCCCGCCCCTTCCCTGCCCCTCCCCGTGGCCCTGCCCCCCCTGCTCCCCCCTCTCCTCCTGTGTGCGCTCCTCCTCATCCTGTCTTCTCGTGTCTGTCCTCTGCTCACAGGGTTTTGGGTTTGTAACTTTTGAAACTAGCTCAGATGCTGACCGAGCCCGGGAGAAGCTGAATGGCACGATCGTAGAGGGACGGAAAATTGAGGTGCTCAGATAAGTGTGGGAGTCCTGGGTGGCACCTGTCTGTCACCCTGGGTCCCCCATCGGCCCACCAGGGTCCGCCCCGCAGACAGCCCGCCGGGGCCTTCCACGGCGGGAGGACGGGTCACCTCACCCACGCACACCCATGAGCTTTGGCTGCGGCCATCACCTGACTCACCCGGGGTCCACCTCTGCCCTCCACCCCTCGAGCGGCCCTGCCCCTGCCCAGACACGGAGCAGGCTCAGAAATCATGTGAGGCCTGGCCCATGCAAAGGCCACAGCCAGTTCTGGCTGTCCTCCACGGGGGAGGGGCTGGCCCCTAGGGTACCGAGGCTGACCTGCCACCAACCACACTGCCCAGTGCCCACACTTTGCCCCCTTGGTCCCCTCCTCTTTCACTCCGGCCTCTGCTCCATACCAGCAAGTGGTCAGAGGGCAGCAAGAAGATGGGGCGGGGCCTGCCCAGCGCCTCTGCTCCTCCTCTCCCTCTCCTTGCCCCCACCCTGTGTGGTGTGTGGCTCTGAGTCCCAGGGCTGGGTCTCCAGCAGGTGCAGGTTCACGGGGGGGGGGGGGGGGGGGGGGGGGGGGGAGATGGAGGAGCCTTAGCCTCAGGCGGGGGTTGGGGGGAAGGAGGAGGTTTAAGAAGCTAAAGGCACTCCAAAGTCCACCGAACCCAGCCCAGTGCCCTGTGGGCCCTGAGGGCCACAGCTGGACCCCTGTGTCCACCGCTCCCTGCCCTCCTCCCTCCTACATGTCCTCTGTCCTTTGTGTCCCCTGGGCAATCTGACTTACAAGTCTGGAAAAGAAGACTTGGCTCTATCTTGACCCTACAGCCGCCCCCCCCCCCGCACTGCTGGAGGTGCCAAAGCCCCCAATCCCAGGGGGGAAAGGGGTGCTCTGCTCTGAGGGTCCCAGGAGGGTCTCTGTTGACTGCCCCAGAAACACTTCGCGAACAGTGCTCGGCCTAAGGGTTGTAGTAGTGGCTGGGATGCTGTTGTGATGGCCTGTGCCGAGCACAAACGCAGCGATCTGGGTTGAAGGGATCTGGGCCAGGCTGGACAGCGGCCTGGGTCCTGGAAACATCCCTCCCAGAGGCCCTGGGAGGCTGGAAACACGGGCAGGACTGGGATGGCCACCTGGCCTGCAAGGAACAAGCATGCCCTCCTTTTCTCTTTCCTTCTCTGGACAGGTCAATAATGCCACCGCCAGAGTCATGACCAACAAGAAGACCGGCAACCCCTACACCAATGGTAAGGAGCCAAGGGTCCTCCTGGGGGCTGCAGGGGCGTGGCTGGACAGCTCAGGGGAGCAAAGGGTTCTGCAGGCCAGCTTTCCTGCCTGCTAAATCCCTCCGCCCTGCTTGCTATCCCAGCCTTCCCGTTCCTGTCCACTCGGGAGGAGGCGGTCAGCCGACACAGCGCCCCCTCATGGCCAGTGCTCTCACAAGAGCACCCACAGAGTATAGATCCCCCATGTGTACAGGGACTAGCTGGGGGCAGGGGCAGCAGAGACCCCCGTGTGATCCCTTGTGCTCGTTCAAGGCTTCCTGTCTAGGAATATGGCATCCACCACCCAGGAGCTGTGTAATGACAAATAATACCTCTCAGTGCGGGGTGCTTGGTGTTGAGTGAGCGAGGGTGCTATTGTAAAGAACAGGGGTGGTGGGGGCACTGGCCCCCTGTGTGTGCACCTGCCAGGGGAGTCTGCTGGTGTCAGGTGCTGGCTGTGGGCAGATCACCGGGCCACTGTGTGGGTTGCTGTAGCTCAGCTGGTACCTGCAGACCCTCTCTGCTCCGGCTAGGGGGCTGTCAGCGCTGACCACCACTGCAGGACGGGCCTTTGTGGGCCACCTGTCCTCAGGTGGGCACGAGGTCTGCCTCTACGGTCCCTGTACGCTCCCAGCTGTGCGTGTGGCCCCACTACTGCCCAAGTCCGCCGTGGGAGCCGGGGCCGATTGGCCGTGCAATCTGAGCTGGTGCAGGTGTCCGTGCAGATGCTCTGGCCGGAATATTGCGTGCACGCACCTCCCACTCCTGTGAGAACTCAGATTTCTCCAATCTTTCTGAAAACTTGTGGCTGCCCAGCTTGTCAGCACCCTGAGCAGTTCCTGGCTGTGGCTGCCGGAACTCAGCTCTGGAAGAGGAGGAAACGCAGTAGACTTTCCCGTCGGGTGGACAGGACGCGGGACTTGTGGGCGGCTGTGTTTAACCTGTGGGCAGTGTGGCGGGAGCCCTCACAAGGCCACAGCCCCTGTGTCCCGGAGCTCAGCCCAGCAAGTGACCCGTGTGGGTTCCAGTGGTGTGAGTGACCCCACCCCCAGAGGAGCAGCTTGTCAGCTACCACGTCTTCACGTGCTGCGTCCACGTTAAGTCCAGTAAAACCCCACCTCCTGGGCTCGTGGACCAAACCCCTAGAGAACTTGAACCTGGCCCCACGGGGTGCCTTGTTCGGCAGTCTGATGTGGATGGCTGGATGCCTGGGCCAGTGTGAATGCTAGATACGGTGTGCTGGGTGTCCCTAGTAACTCTCTATCTGAACCCTAGGCTGGGACAGCAGGGGAAGGAAGAGCGTGGGGCTCCTGGAAAACGGGCCCCCAAAGGTCCCTCAGGTCCCTCTGCACATCCAAGTGTCGGCTGCAGATGCTGCCGAGGAGCCTGCTGCTCCCCCCAGCCCACCCCCCAGCCCAGGAGCCTGGCTTGTGCCAGCCCTTTCTGGGCAGAACTGGAGAATGAGGGGCGTGTTGTGCAGAAAGGAGTCCAGCGCCAACCAGCTGTGCTCTACGCTGCCTCCCAGGGGGCTGGCCACCAGTGCAGGCCAGATGCAGGGTCCTGCCTGCCCCTGCTTCTGGTGCAGTGTCCCTTAAAGGCCTCCACTGGCCAGGGCAAGAGACACAAAGCTGCCAGATGCCTGTGGCTCACACTTGTCATCCTAGCCACTCAGAAGAGGAAGGTCTGAGGGTGGAGGTTTGAAGCTAGCCAGAGCAGGAGAGTCCAGGAGACTTTTATCTCCAATTAACCACCAAAAAGCTGGAAGTATAGCTGTGGCTCAAGTAGTAGAGCACCACCCTTAAGCAAAAAGTTCAGGGACAGCGCCCAGTAGACCCTGAGTTCAAGCCCCGGTATAAAGAGAGAAAAAGACAGAGAATTGCAAAGCTGCAAAGGGACAGCCTGTGTTCCCTGCAGGCTGACCTAGAGCGGCCCCAGGGTGTGATAACAGCGAGAATCATGGCATTTGTCACTCAAGGTGGCCTCACCACTGCAGGAAGCAAGCCCACCGGGTCAGTGTCTCTATTTAGAGGAGAAACAAAGGACCACCCAGGAGGTGGCTCTCGGGCAGCTCTGTGACTGCTGGAGGCATCCAGAGAGCCAGAAGCATGTTAGGGGCCATCGGGAAGCCAGAGAAACAGGGAAAGGGCTCTGATCTGCGAAGCAGACACCAGCCAGGAAGGATCTCATCCAGGAAGGGTCCGGTGGGGGGGGGGTGCCGTTGGGGTGGAGCCTGGGGAACACAGGCCCCAGGTCAGCCCCAGGCCTCTCTGCTCCGTTGGGCACATTTTGCTAAGAAAGGTCTGGGGGGGGCAGGAGAGGCGGGGGGAGGTTTGGAGGTTTTTCCAGATGAAACACTTCTTCCCTTCTACCCTCAGATGGATAGAAGATTCCAGAGTCCCATCCCTGACGTTCAGATGTGGCGATGGGAGACAAGGGGGTAGAGTTTGCCCCAGGGTGGGACAGGCCTGGGCACTGGATGATCTGGCTGTCACCCTCTCCCAAGTTGACCCAGGTCCCCTCTGTCCCTCCTCGCAGTGCAGACGGACAGGAGGGGCACAGACAGGACAGCCGTGGGGTGGGGGAGCTGAGCAGGGAGCTGAGCCCTGGCTGTTGGTGCTGTCCGAACACCGGAAAGCAAGCTGCTTTCCATAGAAAGGCTGAGTCTGCCTACACTCCTGGGTCCCCCATGGGAGAAGGGGCCCCCGCACACACCCCTCCATGCAGGAAGGCCGAGGCACCGCGGGGCTTGGGGACTGGGCAAGAAACAGATCTGCCTGGGGCTGCGGGCTCAGGTCCTTGTGTCCCAAAGTTCCAGCCTTTGCCCTGCCTCTGTCTCTCTGTGGGTGAAGTGGAAGGGTGTGCCGTCCGCTTCTGGGGGTGAGGACCCCATGGGTTTGGGACCTACGTGTGGCAGCACAGAGGACACAGGAACTATCAGCTGTCATTGCTCTTATCCCCAATCCGGTGGCCCTTTCTCCCTCCTCTGGGAAGACCACCATGGGACCGTAGGGGAAGCAGGGGAAGCTATGACAGGGGGCACCCCAGGGACTTGGAGCAGGAGGAAGACTGAGGCAGGAGGTGGGGAGAGATCCCCAAGACAGAATCTCTCGCCCCAACCGTGCCTGGATGTTTGGGACTCTCCTTGGGACTGAGGGGAGCCTAGGGGCAGGAGGGGAGTGAATTGGCCCTGCTGTTCCAGCCATGGGGGGTTGCAGCATCCAAACTGGGCTGGGCACCTGGCCTCCCCCACCTCAGCCCTCTGCAAAGGCCTTGGGCATGACCCTGCCTATGGATGGGGAGGGAGGAGGGGGGCACAGAGGAGGCGGGGGTGGGGAGGGGGAGTCCCAGGCCCAAGATGAGCTAGGAAAAGGCTTGAGAAAGCCAGTGAGTGCCCTGTTTCCGTCCCAGGCTGGAAGCTCAACCCGGTGGTCGGTGCCGTCTACGGGCCTGAATTCTATGCAGGTAAAGATGAGGGTGCTGGAGCAGGTGGAATGGGGAAGTAGCAGGGGTGGGACCGGCGAGACCCGCCGTCTGCCCCCGTCCCTCCTCCAGCTCCTCTCTGTCTCCCCTTCCATGCAGTGACCGGCTTCCCCTACCCAACCACGGGCACAGCGGTTGCCTACCGGGGCGCGCACCTTCGGGGCCGGGGCCGGGCCGTGTATAATACGTTTCGAGCTGCACCACCTCCTCCTCCCATCCCAACTTACGGAGCGTGAGTACCTGGAGGGGGAGAGGCTGGATGAAGACCCCTGGGGTGGGGGGGGCAGGGGAAGGGGAAAGGGGAGGGGCCGTCCCGGCAGACTTTTCAGTAACTGGGGCAGGGAGGGAACTCCAGAACTCATCTGGTCCAGATGCTAAACAGGGGCATTGTCCTCCCTTAGGTCCAATGAGGGGCTTCTGGGAGCCCCCGCTGGGCCTTTTCCCCAGGGTGCACGGCCATCCACCCCTGAAGGGGGTCAGCTGCATGGGAGGGTGGGGGGTGGGAGAGGGCTTACAAGTTGGACCGAGGGGCCCCCTGGGTTTGGGGAGAAAGGAGCCGATCAGCAAGGGTGTTACTCTATTGTTATACCAAACAGGGCACTGGAGCAAACGCTTGTTAAAATGCCAGTCCCGTGGGCGGGGCTGGCGCCGTGCCCCCTCCCTCAGCAGCCTCCGGAGCCGGCCTACCCCGCCTCTCCAGCGTGCCCACCACTCTCTTGTCCGTTTGCTTCCAGGGTCGTGTATCAGGATGGATTTTATGGTGCTGAGATTTATGTAAGTGTAGCCCTGGAGAAGGGGAGGGAGTCAGGAACAATTTTTTTTGTCTCCATGAGAAGTCAGTGTCTCCCCTCAAGGCCTTACCTCCTCCCACCCTTGGGACCCAGGAATCCAGAGCAGCAGGCTGCACAGAGAGCACAGGAGACCCCAGCACAGCCTGGTCTAGGGTACCTGTGCTCATTGAGGGAGTGCTAAATCCATCTCCCAATGGTCCTATGAGGTCCGGTTCGCAAGGTTATGTATGGTGGGGGCAGTGGGAAGCTCTCCCACACCCAACCACCCTCTGGTGGGACACGTGAGCCCCTAAACACACAGCTGTCCAGTGTAGAGACCCGGAGAGCAACCAGAGGCAGACCCCACAAGATGTCAGGCTCCTGTGTCTCCGCCCTCCAGAGGGGGTCTGTGGACCACCATCCTTTCTGATTCAGAAAGGCTCCGAGCCCCTCACCAATGATCCCACGGCCATACCTAAGTCCTGGTCAGCCATCTGAAATTCAACTATTCTCCCCCCCCCACCCTCCCCGCCTCTAATCTAAGGCCAAGATATCTAGGGTGCCTGAGGAAGCCCTCTGGCCTAACCCTTCCCAGGGTCCAGAATCACCCCTGGGTTCTCCTTGCCTGTCTGGGGTTGCTGACCTGTTGGTGGGTCTTGGGGCATATACCATGTGCCAAGAACCAGCACACTGGCAGAGGTAGAATGGGTACCCACTAGTGTCTGCCAAACGTGCAAATGGTCCTAAGAACATGTGAATGGGTGAATATGTGAAAGACATGAGCTGCAGACCCTCCTTCCTCAAGCCATGCCATTAGACAGTTCCTCAGACCAGAAGCCAGGTGCCCAGGCCAGGCAGCACCTAAACCTTTCCTGTGTCCACCCCCCGCCCCCCGTCTTCCTGACCCAGTCTCTCCCTGGGCCAGCCCCACTGAGTCTGTCTGCCGTCTCTCCTTCCCACCCGTTCTGCAGGGAGGCTACGCAGCCTACAGATACGCTCAGCCCACAGCAGCAGCCGCTTACAGCGACAGGTGAGGCCGGGACCACAAGCCAGGCTTGGGCATCGGTGGGGAGCTGGTCCAGGGTCCCCGGAGGGCTGGGCACCCAGACAGGAAGTGCTGGCCACCACTCAGGACTTCCCGAGCCAGGTCCACGTGGGGGTCAGACCCTGGGACCAACGAGCCCAATGTCAGTCATTTCCTTACTTGTGTGAGGGGGACAATGGTGAGAGCCCCCCAGGAGCTGCTGGTGATTTCCCGCCCTGAGGTCTGACACCCAGCATAGTAGTTATGATCCTCAGTTTGACCTCCAGAAACAGTATTCGCTGGACTGAAACCCCACAGCTCCGAGGAGGAAAGGCCACCCCCCCTCCTCCTGTGGGATAGGGTGGACCAGGGTCGGCAGAGCGTGCGTGTGTGTCATCTGGGGTCAGCCTCTACTCCAAGGGCCCGGGGGAAGGCCGTGGTGGCTGGCTTCCTTTCCTCTTCGTGTCTGACCTAGCACCTTTTGGGCCATGCTGTAGCCATCTACGTGTCCCTCTCATCCACATGGCCCCCCTGGCCCGGGGGACACCTGACCTGTCCATGAGCCACCTCCCAGGTGTGCGTGTGGTCCTCAGGGCCCTACACCTAATCCTGTCCTCTTGTGTGTAGATGTGTATGTGAGAGAGAGAGAGATGGAACTGGGGCTTGAACTCAGGGCCTTGCACTTGCGCTTGGCTTTTTCTGTCAAGGCTGGTCCTCTACCACTTGAGCCACACCTCCACTTCTGTAGTCCTGTCCTCTTGGGAGGCTGTCACTGCACAATAACCTGAGTGGACACCGCGGCGGCAGCATTCCTCCCCGCCCCCAAGGTCCCTAGCCTTGCCGTTCTGTGCATGGACTCTGACCCCTCCTGAGCTGTACAGTGAAGATCTCCATGACGGGGCTGGGATGTAGCTCAGTGGCAAAGCACTTACCTAGCAAGTGCAACATCCTGGGTTCGATCCCCAGTACCAAAAAAGAAAAGAAAAGAAAAAGATCTCCATGAGGCTCTGAGCAGGACACACAACCCCCTACACCGGCTGTACTGAAAGGATGACCTGTAGGGTTCCAGAAACTTCCTTCCAGGCAGAAAGGAAGGACAGACTGAATAAGGAGGGCCTGGTGAGGGAAGGAGGCGGTGGGCTCTCCAGATGAATGCCGGCGCGGGGTGATCTGGGGTTCACGCCCCTCACCTGCCCGCGCCCTCTCCCCCACGCTCTTCCCATAGTTATGGCAGAGTCTATGCAGCTGCTGACCCCTACCACCACACCATCGGCCCCACGGCGACCTACAGCATTGGAACCATGGTAAGGAGGCGGGCGCTTCCCGGCCCTGATGAAGAGATGGGGAGCTGGCTGCAGCCAGGGAGCGGGTCAGGTGCTCAGGAGAGAGGGGGTCTCTCCCTGGAGGCTTGGGAAGGTTTGTGGCTGTACGGGCGTCCTGGGGGAGGCTTCCACCCCTCTCTTTTGAAAAAGGAGGGAAGGCAGGTCTGACCAGATGATGAGCCACGCAACACCCCCATGGGACCCCCATCTTCCTGCGCCCTTGACCAGAGTCCTATCCAAACCCCGTGGCCCCGGCTCAGCGGCTCTGCAGACTGGGCGGGTGTGACCTGATTTCCCCTCTGTGCCGTGTCTGAGCCAGCCCTCGCCCTCTATTCTCACACGGGGAGAGGGCCAGGGCTCCCCATTGTTTCTCTTCGTCGTCCTGGCATCGTTTGGGGCTCCAGGGTCTTGGTGTGGGGCAGGGAGTACCTCCTCCCCAGGGGCCCTGCCCGGCTGCTGCGGGTCAAAGAGAGACAATGACAGAGTGGGGGGGGGGGTGCCTCGCTGCTGGACCGTGCAGGCTGGCGTGTATGTGTGCATGTGTGTGTGCGTGTGTGTGTGTGCATGACCGGCTTTGGACACACACAGCCCAGCCCCTCTGTACCCCCAGATCTACGTCCAGTGCACACCCGGTCCTTGTGCCTGCCCTACCCACAGGGTGTCAGTCTGTTTTTAGCTAGCTTGGCATCCAGCATCAAAGATGAAAACATTTCGGGGGCAGTGACGAGGCCCTGTGCATTTTTTCCCTCCCCCCGGTGTGGAGTGCTCCCTCATCAACTTGCCTCAACTCCCTTTGCTTTTTAATTTTTAGCGAGCCGCAGATGCCCCGAGCAGGCTCCGGGAGGAGGCTGTGGCTCGGGGGAGTGACTAGCCTTCTCCATGCGGTGCTGAGGTTGGGGCTGGGGGCCGCAGGCCGCTGGGCATCCCAGCTACCACCTGAGCTGACAGCACTCCTGACTTTTAAGATTTCCTACCCCGCCCCCCCACAACTTTTCCTCTCTTGCATTTGCCATCTTTCCCCCATTTTCTGGCAAAACTAGTGGGCGGAGCAGGAGGATCCGGTGGCTCCTCCCTGCCTGGGGGTGTCCCAGCCATGTGTGAGAAGGAGAGCACCCCACATGCTCCCTGGCCGGGCCCCTGGAGGCCTCGAGAGCACAGGGTGGGCTACAGAATGAGTGTCCCCTCCCCCCCGAAGGGGAGTGGGTCCAGCGGCCCCCGAAAACCCAGTCAGCATCCCTGGATGAGGAGAAGGGGCTCGAGCTGGGATGCTCTCCACGAGGAGTCCCAAGACGCGGCCCAGAGATGGCTCAGAAGCTTCCGTGCCAGGAGCCCTGTTGGCTGACGGCCCCAGGGCTCCCCTACCTACTCGCCCCTCCCCAGACCCCCACTGCTCCACGCTGGCCCACCCCCCCTGTTGTCATGACAACCAAGGCCCAGTCTTCCCCGAGGAACCTCCTAGAAGGGGAAAAAGGAAGCGGGATTTAGCCATTTCTTTTCTGTTTTCCCTTTTTTTTTTTTCCTTTTTCTTTTGGCTTTTTCTCCCCACTACCCATAGGCGGTACTGATTGGCTGTTTTTCATCTTTGATGTTGCAGGCTAGCCTCTGCCGAGGAGGGTACAGCCGGTTCACCCCCTACTAGCAAGAGACCCGCCCCTAACAGCATTCACACTACTGCCTATTCCAAACCACACCCTACAGCCCAAACACCAGGCCCGCCACCGAGAGGACAGTGCACCCCTGACCCTCTGCGACTCTAAATCCATAGATTTTTGTTTTTTTACCTCCGCCCCGCCCCTGACGCTGTATGTGTCTTTGACCCTGGTTTTTCCTGTCTGTCTGAACCTTGGTTTCCTATCTTGGCTTTGTTGATGTTGTACTTCCCGAGCCTCTGCAGGTATGGTATACACACAGCAGGGCAGGCTGGGAGGGCAGCCAGGCCCCGCACAGCTCCCCAGACACCAGCCCGGCCGCCCCCAGGGCCCCTCGGCCAGCCCCTGCAGGGCTCAGCTGCCGGTGAGCAGCGAGCGATTACAGCACGCAGCCAGGGCTCGCCTCTTTTCGGCGGGTTTCCTAGTCTGGACAGGCTCCTGTCCGACCTTCTGCAGGGATCTCAGTAACCACCTCCACCCTCCCAGGCCCCACTCGGCCGAAGCTCCTATTGCTGATTAAATTTTACTGACAATGTTTCCCGCCCTGGTTGTCACAAACACGCTGCTTGATGTGCAAACGGTGCTGGGGGACTGGTGGGGGGGGTGTCATGGTGAGAATTAGAAGTGTGGAAAGAAATGCCCTGCCCCCAGGCACCTTTATACCAATGTCCATTCCAGAAAATGGGAGTGAGCGGGTGATGCCTTCCTCGGCCCCCCCAGATCCACCACAGACTCGTCTAGAGAGGATGTGCAGAGCTGTGAGGCCGTGGGATCTCTCCGGCCCTGCGGAGGGCCGGAGGAGACACATGGACCTGACCACTAGCGGGTGGGTCGGTCAGGTGACAGCTCCTCCAAGGGTCGGCCCCGGGACACACGTGGGAGAGGTGCAGGCCGCTCTGGAGGGGTCGGAGGGGCAAGGCTGTCACCCAGGGGTGTGCCCCCTCTCACCCGAGCCCATGCGCTCAGCCTGACCATGCCCCGCCCACTGCCCAGTCCAGTCATCTGGCCAGGCTGCCTTCCTCCCCCCCTTCGCACCCCCCCCATCCAGACTGGCCACAGATCTCCCTCCATTCAGCCACACCCATCCCGGAAGAGGGCGTGGCTGTAGACCTAGCTTGCAGTAGGTGGTGGGGTCCCAGAAGCCTGGAGCTAGGGGACAATGGGACTTCAGGCCAGGCTGGGGCCAGTGGTCATGTGCCCCCCCTCCCCCCACCTGCAGCTGCTCCTGAGAAACCGCAAGCCCTGCCTTTCTGTTTCTGTTGTAGTGAAACCTTCCACCGTTTCCTTCTCGGACCATGAAGGGTAAAAACAAAACAAAAAACAAAAAAAAATCACAAAACAAAAAACAAAACAACAAAAAAAAGATGTTAAAGATCCAAGCAACAACAACAACAACAAAAATAACCAAACCAAGAGGCATCCAACCACGTCCAGGTCCTGGTCCGGCACCCACGGAGGGAGCGTGGCCCGGCGGGGGCGCGTGGAAGAGACGGCGGGGCGGGGACTCCACTTTCTATCCAGTCTTCCTTTCCCACCCCCACTCCCAGGACTCAGGGTCAGCAGCCCGGCTGAGCAGAAAGGGAGGCGCCAGGCCCTCGAGGGGTTGGGTGTGGGGAGGGGCCTTGTCCCCAGGGCTCCAGCGAGGCCTGGTCACGCGTGCTGCCCGCGCCCTTGGCCGTCCAACCAGCAGCCCTGGGGTCCTCCTCCAACGCAAGGGCTGACGTGGCTCCAGAACTCCAGGGCACCCTTGGCCCTGCCACCCCCCCTTCCCCCCCCAGCGTGAGTGAAGGAAGCCCGCCCAGCAGGACCCTGAAGCAAAGGACTTGCCCTTAGCCACCATCTCCCTTCCCAGAGGGGGCCCTGTGGACCTGTGGGGCTGAAGGCCAGCCTCCTGCCGCCCACCGGGAGCCAGCCCTCCCCGTGGGGCTCACTCCTGCTGGGGAGCAGGGGCGGCGATGGACAGGCCAGCACCTGGCAGCATCCAGGCTGGAAGTTGTGGTGCTATGGCTGTGGATGGCCACAGGCAAGAGCAAAGGATGGGGGAGGCCTGGGCCGGCCCCACTGCCACCCAGGAGGCCAGCTGGACGCCAGTTGTTCCCTGGGCAGGCAGAGGGAGCAGGGGCCAGGTGGCAGGCAGGGCCCCAGCCAGGCAGGGCTAGCTGCAGCAAAAACTTCATGAAACCATGGGCTCCCGACACGGCTCCGCTGTCTCATGAAACACACCTCACTTTATACTCAGCATCAGCTACCGAAGCTACTGACATGGAGCCCTCCTTTTCTACTCCTGTTGTACACAGCCCCGCGCCTGTCTCTGGCTCTGTCCTCCGTAGAGCCCGCGCCTCCTGCTGTCTCGGACCCTCTTCCTGCAGCAGCTCAGACCCCGCCCTGTCCCCCCCAGGACTGCAGCCAAGCCCCAGGCTTCCTTTCTTACCATTCTGTATGCTTCCAAGGTGTGATCATTCAAACCAACAGTATTATTATTAAGATTATTAATAAAGATTTCTTTCTTCAAGCCAGGAATGCTCTTTCTGATTTGGCAGCTCCAGGCACAGGGTTGGGGGGCCGAGGCCCGGGTGTCTCCCCAGGGGGCGGGAGGGCAGAACACGCTCTGGGCGGGAATTTAAAGCCCAGACCGCAGGCTCTTCTGGCCATGGTCTCCTCTCCTGGGCCTCCGTGGAACGGGGTGCCCAGGGTCACGCCGCAGAAGCTAGAAGACTTGCATTGCCTGGAGGTACATGTTCTTCTCTGGCCCCTGGGAGGTGGGTGAGGCTGCAGCAGAGGAGGGAGGGAGGCTGGGTGGGGGCTGGGCTGGGCCTCAAGGAAACCAAGAGCCTCAGAATTGTGGGCCAGGGGTGAGCCCAGGAGCCAGATCTCACCAAGACTCAGGTTCTCATTTTTCACCATGTCGGGTAATTTATTTCAGAGTAATCACACCCACCAGAGGGACGCGGGCTTCAACGCTGGCAGATTAATTTTCCCGCACTGGAGCCTGCACCGCCGGGACTGGGCCCTGCTCTCGGCCAAACGCCACGCTCTGCTAGGCCCCTTTCCTTCTAATTGCTTGATCACCAGACTGTGAGGAAATAATTGCCACTATAAATTTTCCCTCCTCTGCAGAAAGTATTTGGAGGCGCTGGCACTAAAACACAGACATCCTGAAACAAAGGAAGTGGGCGCAGATGCCAGGCTGCCCTGCCCTCGCTCAAGCTGGGAGACTTGGCGCTCTGGGGCAGGTTTAGCAGGAAAGCCAAAGCTCTGAGACAGCAGAGACGTTGGCTTGTACGGTGACTGCCACCAAGGTGAGCCTGCTGGCCACTCCCGGGACTGCGGGAGCCAGGGCTTGGCCTGCAGCAGTCAGCAGCCAGCAGGGGCAGGGCCCTGCCCTGGGTCCTAGGATGTGCCCAGCCTGAGGTCGCAGGCTCCTGCCAGAAGCAGGGAAGGTGGGGGAACTGAGCCCCGCAGGAGACCTGCGGCTCCAGACTGGGCCCTCAGCTCTCAGGAAAACACAGCCCACCTACCCTGCGCATGGCTGCCCCAGCACCGGGCAGCCTGTCTCCTGTGCAAGGTGCAGTCCACAGACTGACCCCGAGGGGTGGCTTCCGGGTGGGCTCAGCACATGTGGGGCATAGGAAGTGGACAGGAGGCCTGAGCCTATGTGACCCAGAGGTGAGACCCACCCCCGCCCAGCCTTTGATGCTGCCCGTGCCACCTCAGCCCCTCACATGGCTCTGGGAGGGGGCGGGGTGCTGGAGCGCTGCTGGAGGCCCAGAGACCCACAGATTGCGGGGGGTGGGGGACAGGCCACCCAGGGCTCAGCAGGACCTCTGCAGAAGCCGTGCGGCAGAGCAGGGACAGGAGAAAAGGCCGGAAAGGGGCTCCAGTGGCACCCAGGGGAAGGCCAGCCACAGGGGGGAGGGGAGGGCACCAAAGCTGCTACTGGCCCCAACATCTGGGCCGGGGCAGGCACACCCCACACAGGGGGGCTGTGATGCTCCCCGTCCGCCGGTCGGGGCGCCTGGTCCCCTAGCCACCCGAGAACTGCATCTTTTCAGACCTTCCCCTGGCCTGCTGGGGAGCTCTCTTACCACAATTTGTTTCTAAAAAGCCATCCAATGAATAGCACGGGCATCTTCCAGCCTATCACAGGGAGCCCTCTGTGGGGTTCTCCAGGCAGCCCCCGCAAGCCCTCTCCTTTGTCCTTGGGAAGCACGCAGTGTGGGGCGCGCGTGCAGAGCCCCGCCTATCCAGAGCCGCCACCACCAGCCCGCTCCTGTGACCCACGCAGAAAGCCACAGGGAAGGTCTGGAGACAGGTTTTCTGGGGCCCTGGCTTTACTTGGCAGGGGTCTTGCATGGCTGCAGCAATCGGAGGTGAGGAGGCGCTATGCTTTGGGGCCCTCGGACTAGGGGGCAGCATAGACCAGGGCCGCCCTGCCCCATTCAGCCTGAGGCACCACAAAGCCTTCCCTGGGGACAGGCTCCACCAGGAATTCCACCCGGCCCTCCTGGCCCGGCCCTGTGGCCACCACCAGCAAGTCCACCACCCGGTACTGGGCGGCAAAAGCCAGGCCCAGGAATGTGGGCCTCTCCGGGCCGGGGGAACCCCCCCTGGTCCTCTGCCACCAGTGGATTCGGAAGCCCCGGGCGTGGCGGAGGAGGTAGGACCAGTGCAGGGTGCAGCTGAGCCTGAGCTCGGCCAGGGGCCCCTCGGAGCCGGAGGCCGGTGGCAGCCAGCGGACCTGTGAGATGGTCACATCCTGCACCTGGGGCAGAGGGGCCAGCAGGCTCTCGGCGTCCACCACCTGCCGCAGAGAGAAGGCTCAGAGACGGCCAGATGGGTGGGGCAGGGGCCCAGGCCCCCCACCCCTCCTCACAGTCCCAGGCCCCCCGTGCCCCGCCCCAGCCTCAGCGGCTGCCCTTCATGCCAGAACACACACCTGAATCTCCCCGAGGCGACAGGCGAAGCTCTCCTCCTCCCGGCTGCCCCGTGTCCGGGAGAAGCTCACGAAGAGGTCCTGCAGGAGGCACTCACGCAGGCTCACCTCATAGCAGCTGGGGGAGACAGAGGTACCAGGATGTGCTCGGTGGGGAGGGGGGAAGCCCAGGCCTACATCAGGTCTCTGCAGCGACCTCAAATGCTCCCAGGGAGTGTCTTGGGCCTGGGCCCGGGCCTGGGTCTCAGAGCGCTTCCAAACCTGGAAGCTCAGAGCCTATCTCTGCCTTCCCATGAGTACTAGAAATTCCCAGCAGGGGACCCGACACCTCCAAGCACCCCTCCTGTGTGGCCAGCCACTCCAGACCGGTGAGAAGGGGACTCACCGCTGGATCCAGCCTCCGCCACGCTGCTGGCCACAGCGGCCCACCCATCTAGCCAGCTTGGTGGGGGGCACCCGGAGGGGCCGGGGGCTGTGCCTGGAGCCAGCTTCTGCTGCACAAGAAAGGGGCTTGAGAGGAGAACCTCAAAGGAAAGCACAGGAGGGACGTGGGGGGGACCCTGGGGTCCCAGCGGGAGCCCTGGTGTCATAGAGGCCGGGGGCCACCAGGCACAAATGAGACAAGTGTCTGGGACCGGCCAGGCTCCCTCTCCCCCTCCGCCCTCTCCTCTCCCAGCTTACAGGCCTCTACCATGCCACAGCCAGCCGGAGGCCCGCATCCGTCCCCTGGGAGCTGCCGTTGCCCGGCAGGGTCACAAGGCTGGCTGAGCAGGAAGTCCCCACGCTGCCCTGACTCCATGGAAAGCAGGGTTCACCAGACCCCATGCACTCCAGCTCCCGTCCCTCCCCTACCGCAACAGGCCTCTAGACTTCTCTTCCCTTACTCCCCAGTACACACGGCCACCAGCCCAGCCCTCACCACTCAGCACGGAGACATTGTCAATGGCACACCCAGTGTCCCCGGTGCTAAGTTCCAAAGCGACCTTGACGTCCGAAGACCCTTCCAGCTTATACACCATGGACAGGAAAATCTTAGGCGGCACGGGGACCTGCAGGGAAAACAACCTAGAGAAGAAACTCCGTGTGAGCTACGGAGGAGGAAGGAAGTCTGCCGAGGAGCTGGCTCACTCCAGATCGCGTCCCAAGCCCTCCAGCCAGGCCCCACGCCCAGCGCCGTGCTGCTGAGGAGCCCACGTTCCCAAACACGGCCTGTGCTACCCAAGGCAGCCACACAGCTGACTTCTCCGGCTGGGCTGGGGACGCCGGGGTCTGCAGGACAGAGCCCTAGACCCGTCACAAGCAAGCTGGCGCTGCCACGTGGGCTCCCGCGCAGGGCTGTGGGGCTCTGCCTTGTGCTGCAGCCAAGCTCTCAGGAAACTGTCCTCTGTCCTCCGCCCCGTTCCCTGCCCCTGCCCTCTGCCCCGTCCTCCGGCCCCCATCCCCGTATAGACTCCTCTGCACCACTGCCCACCGTGGTGATGGCCAGAGGAGGCGACCGGAGGCCCACACGCCCCGCCCTGTCACTCACCCACCTCACGGCCACGCTGCCAACCTCGGGAGGGATCACCCCGCGGATGAGCAGGGAGCTGCCCCCGTGCCAGGCATCGGCCAGGCAGCAATGTGTCTTCACCCAGCCCTGGCTGTGCCCGGCCAGCCTGTGTTCACCGAAGAGGGGTTGCACCTCCTGGGCGCTCGGGTGGTACCAGGGCCCCGCCACCTGCTCCTGGAGGAAGGCGTGACTGAGAAGATGGGGGGGGTCCTGTGCAGAGGCTCCAGAGCAGGGTGCCTGGGGGCTGGGGACAGGTTAAACCACCATCGCTCACCCCGTAGCTCCCTCCCACCCATGCCAGTTGAGGCTGGGCACCACACACCTGGCCATAGCAGACTCTCCTCTTCCCCATGCCCAGGCAAAAGGAGGTGACGAGAGGCAGGGAGCAGATGCTGTGTGTGGGTAGGTAGCGTTCCAGCAGACCCCAGAACCTGCCAGAGACAAGGGGCGTGGGGGGAGGGAGGGCGGCACAGCTCCGTCAGAGTGACGAGGTCTCTCAGCACCCCTCAGACTCACCTTCATCACCCCAGGCCCCCTCGCCCTGCAAGAGAGCCAGCGTTCTCCAGCTACCAAGAAGCTAGAAACTCAAGCAAGGCCTCACCCTCTGCTCCTCCCCCCACTGGCCTCCACCCTCCCTCCTCCACCCTCCTGAACATGACCTCCACCACACCCCACGTCCGGGGACGGGAGGATGGCCACGGCAGAGCAGAACCTCAGCTTCTGCTAGACACCGAGGACAGCCCTGAGATGCCCTCCCTCCTCCCACAAGCCCAGGCAAAGCCCTAGAATGGCAGCCTCACTTGTCCTGGTTCTGGAAGAAATCCTTCTTCTCCAGACACTCGTATACCCAGCCGGGAGCAAAGAGAGCAGCAGAGAAGCCATGCTTCCGGATCAGCTCCAGCGACTAGGAGACACAAGTCACAGAGATGCTCAGAGTCCAGGCGGCCAACTCTAGCACCAGCACGCCCTGCCTGTCTCTGGCAGCTTGGGAAGAGGGGAGCTGTCCACATCCCTCCCTCTGAGCTTGGGGGCTCTTCCCATCATTCTCAGGCCGACCAGAAGAGAGCGCTAGAGAGGCAGGCAGGCAGCTTCCTGGGGGCCGGTACACACACACACACTGGCAACACACACACACACACACACTTCTCACCAGAGTCACAGAGGGCAAAGACCATCTCCAGGCAATGCATTTGTTTACCTCCTGAACGCATCCTTAAGCCAGGGAAGGGGCAGGACGGAGGGGAGCAGGGGCAAGGGCAGGGCAGGGGCAGAACCAATGGCTGACACAAGACCCCGCTCTCCCCTCATAGGTGGGTGGCTGGCATCCTCATTCCTCACTGCTGGAGCAGCAAGCCGGGGGACTCCACCGGCCCCCCCCAGCTCACATGTTCTTGGCCCTTGAGCTGCCTGAGGAGCAGTGCAGCGCTTCCCAGCCTTCCCTACGCTACCCTGCCCTGGAAGATGGGTTCCATGTTCCTTAGAAAGGGAGCCTGGCTGGGAGTGAGAGTAGCAGCGGGAACACCAGGCCTCTGCCATGCACACACAGTCTGGCAGACACGGGTGGAAGCGAGGCCTCGCTGGGACAGTGTGGACTCCGAGCAGGGCGGGAGGTTCCTCTGTCCCCCGCTCTGAGAACAGCCGCCCCTTCTTTCCCTTGAGGGGCAGCAAGAGGCCCGCAGGGACAGGAGACCACGGAGGGCTCGAGGCGGCCGGCCCGAGCTCTGGCACAAAGGTACCCACCTTATCTGTGTCAAAGCGGCCTCCGACCACTTTCCCCCTGGCGAACACGTCGACGCCCACATACACGTCGGCCAGGCGCTCGCCGACCAGCGCCAGCATCCGTTCCAGGTGCTCTTCCCGCCAGTTGTAGTTGGTGAAGAAGCCATCACAGGCATCGAAGAAGACCCTGAGGGTGGCAGAGACCCACTGAGGCCGGACTGGCAGGACAGGGTGCCCATGGCCAGGGGCTCACCACCCAGCGGGACAGACCAGGGCTGCCTGAGCCTGCAGCGTTCTTCCAAAGAGCAGAGCCTGCCCGGAAGTTGTGAGCTGCAGCCCAAGGCGCTGCGCTGGGCCGTCGGGTGCTGATTTCCCTGCCCATGATGAGGAAAGTAGAAAGCTCAGGCCTTCTCCCCCGCCCTCTTCCTACCCAAAGCCGGCCTGCACACAATGCCCCCGAGAGATGGGCCACGCCGGGCACTCACCGATTGTGCTCGTTGAGCTCATCCTGCCATTTGAGCTGCCCGCTCTGCACCACGCTGTCATACCACAGCACCAGGCCCCCGGGGACCTGCCGGTGGAGCTGGGAGGTCAGGTACTGGAGGAAAGCAGGCGTGTTTCCCACGGCGGCTCGCTGGAGGACAGAAAGAGAATCAGGCCCTCGGGAAGGCAGGCATGCATGCCAGGAGAAAGAGTCAGCAGAGAGCACATGGGACACGGAACCAACACCCACCAAGAACATCAGCGTCCCCAAAGCCTCCCAAACCCCACAGCCACCAAGAGGAGGGGTCGGCCAGTGCCCTTCCTTTCATGCTGGAGAGGAAGGATGCGGTCCAGAAGTTAGGGAAAGAGGAAAGAACTGGAAGGGAAGGGTGGCCATAGAAAGGAAAACACATCTGGCCCCACGCAAAAACGGAGACAAGGAAAGAACAGAGAGAAGAGTGCAGCTGAGCAAGCTCTGGAAGCATCTGGGGAGACTGCCCATGGCGAGCCCACTAAGGCAGCGGAGTTGGCCCTGCCTGGAGCATCACGCTCTTGTGAGGTGAGGCCTGGGGTGTGGAGGGCGGCGGGCGGGGTGATGCAGGCACCGAGCAGAGCAGAGCACACAGAAGGGTGGGGGGCCCCCCCTGGCCGGTGAGCCAGGCATGGACAGAGTGGACAGGGGACAGTGGAGGGGAGAGAGGGGCCAAGCATGGAGAAGGGTGGACAAGAGGCAGTGGAGGGGGAGATGGAAGGAGTATGTGGAGGGTGGATGGGGTAGTGGAGGGAGAGGTGGGCGAGCGTGGAGGAGGGGGGACAGAAGCTATGCTCACACTCAGAGAGTTCTCGATGTTGATCAGCCAGCCATCAAAGCGAAAAAACTGAGCGATCTGAACCAGCTGATCGGCCACGGCCTGGTAGGAGCGCTGTTCCCCGGCCAGGAAGGCCTCGCAGAGCCTGCCCCCCTCGCTCCACTCGGTGATGAAAGTCCCTGCAACGCAGGGCAGGGCAACGTGAGACGGGGAGGCTCTCCGGCCAGCGCGCTTCCTCACCCAACAGCGTCAGACCCACTGCCCAGCCTCTGGCACATTCCTACTCTTGGTCCCACTCAGTCGGGTCAGCAGACAGCCTCCAGCCACCAGCTAAGTGGCCAAGGGTCTCAACTAGAACACAGCGTGGTGGGTTTGCTTAGATGTCTATGGTTGTGTATACGTGTGTGTGCATGCACGCACGTGTGCCAAGCACTGCTAGGTAAGCACGTGACCGCTGAGCCACACCCCAGCCCCTCAGCTGTTAGGTGAGTCACTGCCACAGTGAGTGATCTGTGGTGCACACAGTTACTATGGGTCCTCTCCACCAAGTGTGAACTTGAGCTCTGGAGGCAGCCCCGCACCGGGAGCCGCCCCCCTTTTCTCTCGCATCGCTGGGTCACCAGCAGGTCTGCTGGCGGCCTGGCTCTTACCCAGCACGCTGACGCCATGTCTGTGGGCAGCGTTGGTCCAGCCCACCGGAGGGATGGTGACCGTGTGATGGCTGAAGTACACGAAGACGTCCACGTACTGCCAGTGGTAGAAGGAGTAGGGCGTCTGCACCACGGCGCCCTGGATGAACCTGGCAGAGGCAGAACCAGGATGGAGCCAGGAGGAGGACTCAGAGACCACAGCGGAGAATGGTAGTCCGACAGAGTCTCTCTTCAGTTCTGGTCACTGGCCTGGACAGAAAAGCTGCTGTGCAGGGGGAGTGAGAAGCAGACAGGAAGAACAAGCCGGCTTCTGTTTGCAACCAGGTGGGGAGGCCTTTCCTCTGGGCACTAGCACAGCCACTGGCCCTTCAGGAGCCGAGCATTCCTGACCTTCTGAGCAGGTGAGGGAGGAGAGGAAACCCTCCTGTCTCTGGCTTCTGCTCTGAACAGGGAGGGCCGTTGGCACCCCAGGGTCAGTTTTCCTGCCTGAGGGCCAGGCTGCATCCGAAGTCCTGCCACCCATGTGTCTGCACCTTGATGGCCGATGGCTGGCTCTGACTCAGGACTCCTTATCAGTCACCACAAACAATGCTTTATGGACATTTAAGATCGCTTCCAATGGGACACACGTAGCTAGGAGTGGGAAAGGAGCAGAACCACACTGTGCCCCGGAAGCTGAAGCCAAGAGCAAGGCAGTCCCAAGGGGAAGAGCTGTGCAGACAAAGCCAGAGGCCAGGGCTTCCTTGCTATGTCCCTCCCCGTCCACCAGATTTTTATTTTATTTTATTTTTTTGTCAGTTGTGGGGCTTGAACTCTGGGCCTGGGCGCTGTCCCTCAGCTCTTCAGATCAAGGCTAGTGCTCTACCACTGGAGCCACAGTGCCACTTCTGGTTTTCTGAGAGGTTCATTGGAGATAAGAGTCTCACAGACTTTCCTGCACGGGGTTGGCTTTGAACCATGGTCCTCAGATCTCAGCCTCCTGAGTAGCTAGGATTACAGGCGTGAGCCACTGGTGCCTGGCACCGTCCACCAGATTTGAAGCTGGGACACTTGGACAAACCAGATGACTATGCAGCTGAATGAGACAGATGACCAATCCTTGCTCCTATTCGACAACGCTTAACTAGGCCTGAGTTTTCCTCCTGAGAAGAGCAGAGCCTGATTAGAAGAACCAGAACTGATGCCCGTCTAGAGGTCTCTCTACCACAGAGCGTCATCCCCCACCGCTTCCTACCACAGGGTCTCAGGGTCCAGCTTCCGCTCACCTGTCTTCTAGGTACCCGCCCATCATGTCATGACACAGCAGGGTCCGGGGCCTGGGGCTGCTCAGCGGGGGCTGGCGACACTGTAGGGGCTCCAGGGCCATGTTGAAGCTGTCCTCCATGAGGGGCGTCCAGGCCAGAAGCTCCTCCAAGGAGGACAAGTAAAAACTGATAGGCTTGGTGGTGTCCTTGTCATAATATCTAGCTGGTCCAAGGAGGGAAAGGTGAAAAATAACGGAATGAGCTCAGGGGGCTGGGGACCACCCTGGGCAGAAGCCAGAGAGCAGACAGGGAGAGATCACCAGGTAGTGACCCCACCTGGTGACACCTGGTTATCTCACCTGGCAAAGGATCCGAGGAGAAACTGACCACTTCCCGAAAGACCGCCTCTGCTTCTGCTGCTTCCTCCTGGTCTTCTTGAATTCTAAGCAAAGAGTACAGTTAATAAATAAAAGGAAGCAAATGGCTAGATGTTACCTAGACATAACTTTCATCATTTAAAACAAACCAGATGCTGGTGCCTGTACAGAACCAAAGCAGCACATCCTTCAAGTCCCTGCTCATCCCTCAAGTCCCCTTTGTCAGCAACCAGGGCTCAGCTTCTATCTGGGCACTGATGCCAATAACCAAGACCACAGATAAACACCTTCCCCACCCAAAGAGCCAATCCCATACAGAAGACTGAAGACAAACACTTCACAGGAACAGGAGTTTTGCTCAGTCAAGAGGCAAAGACTACAGATGTATGAACAAGGTGTTGGGTCTGGAGAGAACAGGGGTCAGGTGTTCTTTCCAGACTGCATTCCCCTAAGGGTATTTCACAGTTAGTAAATGTGGATAAGAGGAAAGGGTACCTTTGGTACACTAAATTAAACAGGTTTAGATTTTGGTTTGTTTTGGGCAGTACTGGAGTTTGAACTTAGGGCCTCACCTTTGTTAGGCAGGGCTCTGCTGCTGAGCCAAGCTCCCAGCCTTTTTTGTATGTGTGCTGGTTATTTATTTTATATTAGTGGGGTTTGAACACAGGGCCTGTATCTTGTTCAGCTTGCTTGCTAGGTGGATGCTCTACCCCTTGTCTTACACCTTCAGCCTGGCTTTTTGCTGGTAAACTAGAGACAGAGTATGGTGGATGTTTTCTTTTTCTTTCTTTTCTTCTCTTTTTTTTTTTTTTTGCCAGTCATGAGGCTTGAACTCTGGGCTGTCCCTCAGCTCTTCAGCTCAAGGCAAGCACTCTACCACTTGAGCCACACAGTGCCACTTCCAGCTTTTTCTATTTATATGGTGCTGAGGAATCGAACCCAGGGCCTCATGTACACAAGGCAAGCACTCTACCACTGAGCCACCTTCCCAGCCCTGGTGGATGTTTTCTACTCAGAGTGGTTTTGAGCCATGAGCCTCCAATCTCAGCATCTTCAGTAGCTAGAATTACAGGTGTGAGACACCTCACCCAACTAAACAGCAATTCTCCTCCTCCTCCTCCTCCTCATCATCATCATCATTTTACTATTTTTCAAGGAGTGAGAAGAAGCTGCGATAGTGACCAGAGAAATGAAAGCTGAAGGGCTGGGAAGGTGGCTCAGTGGTAGAGTGCTTTCCTCACATGCCTCTTCAGCACCACATAAACAGAAAAAGCCGGAAGTGGCGCTGTGGCTCAAGTGGTAGAGTGCTCGCCTTGAGCTGAAGAGCTGAGGGACAGCGCCCAGACCCAAAGTTCAAGCCCCATGATGGACAAAAAATAAACATGTTAGTTTTGTTTTAAGAAAGGAAGAAAGAAAAAGAGAAAGAAAAAGAAAGGGAGGAAGGAAGGAAGGGAGGGAGGGAGGGAGGGAGGGAGGGAGGGAGGAAGGAAGGAAGGAAGGAAGGAAGGAAAGAAGGAAGGAAGAAAGGAAAGAAGGAAGGAAGGAAGGAAGGAAGGAAGGGCAAAGCTGACATACTCCAAGTCCTCGGCTGCCTGGGGCCATCCCTCCCACACCAGGCCTGCCCTCGGGGCCGGCCAGGTCTGGGAGCCCAGCATCTGGGTCAGGACGGAACCTCTGGGATTGGGACTGGAAGAGCCGGCCGGGCGGGTGGGAGGAGGGGACAGGCTCAAGCGGGTTCTGAGCATCCTCCCCGACGGCCTTGGTCACCTGTCGTCCCCACCGTTCCGGCCCGTGGCCCGCGGGGGCCTCGGTCGCAGCAGACCGACTGCTTTGGTCTGCAGGTCGCATGTTGGTGCTTTGACTCTGCCCCGGCCGCCTGCTGGCCAGGGCTCACCGGATGGGCCCCCGAGGCCGCCCCTGCCGGCGTGCGGGGCCCGTCCCGCCGCGGGCCGGACGCTCGGGCCCGCACCCCGCCTGGGTGCGGAGGGGACGGGCAGGGAGCGGGGACGGCGGGCGCCCACCGCGAGCCGCTTCCCGCGCCGCGCCCGGGGAGCCCCCTCCGCCCGACCCACCTGCGTGCCGGCCGCCGTCTCCCGGGCCGCCGCTCCCGCCCCTCCGGCGTCCCGGCCTCCGGGGACGCGAGTCCCTGCTGCCGCTTTCGCCGCGCAGCCGCCCGGGTCAGCACTGCCGGGGCGTCCATGACAGTTCCAGCCCGCCCGCCGCTCGGAGCTCCGCGTCACCGGCTCCGAGAGCCAATTGCAGGTCAGGGCCCGCCCCCTGCCTCCGTCCTCGGCCAATGGGAATGCGCGGCGCACTGGCCCGGCCCGGATTGGCAAAGCGAAGAACTCCACTCCGGCTCCGGGCGAGCAGCACCGGACTTTATAGTCAGGAATGGTGGAGGCGGGGCCTGTGGAAGGGTGGAGCCTGGAGGATTTGGACTCTGCTCTACCGGGAGAGGGGCGGGGTCTGGAGAAGGGGCGGGGCACTGGACATGGGCGGGGCCTGGAGGAATTAGAGTAGGCGCGGCAGGGAGAGAGGCGGGGCCTGAAGAAGGGCCGGGGCGAGGGGCGGGGCCGGGGCGAGGGGCGGGGCCGGGGCGGGCTCTGAGTCCAGGGTCCCAGGAGTCTCCCAACTGCTTCCTCAAGCTCCGTCCTCAACCAACTCTTTATTTTAGCAACTTGAAGTTCATCCCAGAGCTGAAACCATCTGCGAGTGGTTACAAAGTCAGTAAATGGTGAAATGGGACCAGGACTGCCCAGAGGGCTACCAGGTGGGCAAGGGGATGTCCGCCCCTCAGGTCCTCCGCGCCCTGGCCGGTCTGTTCCTCCCGGTGGACGCCCACCACCGTTTCCACTGCCGAACTCCTCCTCAAGACGCAGTTCAGACGTTACACCCGTGCAGAAAGCCGTCCCCCCGACGGGCAGGCCTCTGTCCTGCTAGCTTCTAGGAAATGACCATTTCCAGGAAAAGGTAAAAAAAAAAACCCTGCTTCTTGTTTCGGTGTCGATGTCAACAAGTGCTAAGGATTGTGTTCTAGATCAACAAGAGTAGAGAGATGATAGGAACTCAGAAAAGCATCCAATCTTCAGCTAGGATATCTAGAGACAGAACTACCTGCCCTTCCACAGGATGGGTGGCCATTGAACCTCTGCCGGACAAGACTGCCTCTCTGAACTCCTTACAACTTAGCAGGCACCACGGAAGACAAAGAAAAGCAGGGAGGGATGGTGGCCAGATGTTCAGTGTGCAGAACACAAATGGTTTCTCACTGACACCCATTTTTCCACATGCCCACGCCTGTGGTCCACACCAAATCCACCCTTAAATGTGCTAGGCCTAGAGGGGCACACCTGCACCTCTGCCTCTCTGGGCACAGACAGAATTCACAGAAAGCATGGCAATCACTGTCCTGAGCAACGAGGAGAAGGTAATGTGAGAGGAGATGGCCTCTCCTTCCCAACCCCAGAACCCCTGTGCAGCCTGGAGTTTCCGGGCTGGGCCTCAGCGGTTACCCAAGCCAAGCTAACTGGGCCTATTTATTATTGTTGCAGACTTTGAGCTTTACGAGGCCCCACGCTTCCATAAATTCCAAGGGTGGGAGTAATGACTAAGGTCTTTTGAACGTAGAGTCTGATTTTTGCAAGCTGGCCAGTCAGGCAGGAAGGACGGGCCACTTGGGATCAGAAGACAGTGAGGCGTGGGGAGGACAGCGCTGGCAGGAGATCATCCCTTGGGGAGCTCTTTGCGGGGCCGTTGATGACAGCCTTGAGAGGGTGTACAGGTCAGCAAGCCCAGGCCCCTGGGCTCAGAGCACAGAAAAAAGCAGAATGGTGGTGAGTCTCATCTGGCCAGGGCTGTGTGAGCCCAGGCAAGACCATCTAACACGAGCCTGGGGGGAGAGAAACACACCTTTCCCCCATGTCCCCAGTCTTGGTTGCTGGAGAATAAGTCAAGAAGCTGAGCACCAATGGCTCAAGCCCCTAATCCTAGCTACTCCAGAGGCTGAAATATGAGGATTGCAGTTCGAAGCCATCCTGGGCAGGAAATTCCATGAGACTCTTATCTCAACAAACAAAAAGCCAGAAGTGGAGGTGTGACTCAAATAGTAGAGCATCATCCTTGAGCAAAAAGCTCAGGGACAGTACCCGAGCCCTGAGTTCAAGCTCCAGAAGTACTACAAGCCCTGCATGGCCATAATACAAATACAATATTCCCAGGACAGCCCCCAGAGCTTGAGAGAAGCCACGAGAACAAGCCCTGATACAGGAGTGCAGAAACAGAGTGAAGTGTGAAATTCTGGCTGTGTCTGCACAGCAAAGGGGCAGGACTTCCACTTGTCCACTTTTCCTCACCCGAGTCTTGCTGGCTGCCAACTGGTGTGTGGATAGGTTGACGGAACTATAGCAACCATCAGAGACTATGAGGCAGAAACACCTGAGGGGGGTTTACAAAGGTGGGGAGCAAAGGCACAGACCTCTGGGTCCAGGTTCCTCCCTGAGAGGAACAGACTGGGTATTTATTTCAGTGGGTGAATCTAACAAAGATGAACGTGAGTAGACCCAGATACGCCTTACCTTACAATGGCATTTCCTTCTGATAAACCCATTGCAAGTTGAAAATACTCTTAAGTTGGCCATTGCCTGGTCCAGCGTGGTGATGAGCAGGTTTTTTACTAGCAGAGACCGTCTCAGGAGTGAGAGCAGGGAAACCAGGGGCCCTCGACTCGGGGGACCAAGGCCCCTGGCTCATCTCCCAGGCAGTGTGTCACCCAGCATACTAGAGTAGGAAAGGCAGTGAACTTCGTACATTGCTAGTGATGCGTAAATATGTTTCTTCTCTAACACAAGGCAGATATCAATCTGGAAGAACAGAAAGTTACTTAAGCTAGCATCCTTGAGGAGACCAGCTGCTTTCTTATCCTGGTCTAAGAGAAGGGTTCGGAAGCCAGGCCTGAGCACACACCCATCAGCTAACATTCTCGAGGAAACTAGCTCTCTTCTCATCTTGGTTTGGGATGGGGGCTAGGACCACAGTTCTCCTGTGCCTGCCTCTGAACTCTGCCCCCATGACCCTGGTCACATGGCCATCCCTGGTACGGTGCCTTGGCTCATAGCCAAGGGTGCCTTCAGCCTCGCTCGGGGAAATGAGCAGTCTCCAACAGGGTGCTGGCGTTCAGGCCTGGAATCCCAGATACATAGCAGTCTGAGATCCAAGGATGGTGGTTCAAAGCCAGCCCAGGCAGAAAAGTGAGTAAGACCCTGTCTTCAATTACCCAGCAAAAAAAAAAAAAGTCAGACAGAGGCATGGGTCAAGCAGTAGCTCATCTGCCTGACAAACTGAAGACCCTGAGCTCAAACTCTTAAAAAAAAAAAAAAAAAACACCCCACTCTGACTGCTCACAGCTGACAAAGACAACCTAACACCAAGTCTGGCTTATAGTCGAGGGTTCAGTAACTCCTGCACTTCTTAGAAAAGTCTTGCAAGTGGAAAATAGAATGGCTGCGTGGGCACAATTTGGTACTATTGAAAAGTCAAAAGGCACTGGAGGGATGGGAAGGTGTCTCAGTGGTAGAGTGCCTGCCTTGCATACATGAGGCCCTGGGTTCGATTCCTCAGCCCCACATAAACAGAAAAAGCTGGAAGTGGTGCTGTGGCTCAAGTGGTAGAACATTCACCTTGAGCTGAAGAGCTGAGGGACAGCGCCCAGACCCTGAGTTTGGGTCCCACAACCAACGAGAGAGAGAGAGAGAAAGAGAGAGAGAGAAAGAGAGAAGGTGCTAGACTCAAACCATCATAACGTAGGAATTAGGAAGACCTCTCAGAACAGTAGCCTACCTTGCAAGGCTTACTTTTGTTTGCTTGTTTGGGTTTTTTAAAACCTGCAAATTCTGTCTTATCTTTTCTCATTGTGTTCCTTCTTCATTAAATCTTCTTTCCCTTCCTTCAGGTTGATGCACACATAAAACTTTCAAACTGTCACTTCCACCTACAGAACTTTCCTAGCTGCTCCACAAAGCCATATTTGTTTATTTGTCATGTTTCTGCCAGTACTGGGGCTTGAACTCAGGGCCTGGGCATTGTGAGCCTTTTTACTCAAGGTTGGACTCTTACCACTTGAGCCACACCTCTATTTCCAGCTTTTTGGTAGTTAATTGGAGATAAAAATCTCAGACTTTCCCTCCTGGGCTGCCTTTAAACCTTGATCCTCAGATCTCAGCCTCCTGAGTAGCTAGGATTACAGGTGTGAGCACCAGCCCTCAGCTCTGATACCTGTTCTTACTGGTAGGTACAGTCTGTTGCCCCCGTTCAGGATGGCACAGATGGGGTAGGATGCCTGTGCATGCTGCTTGTCTTTGAGCCGTCCCTGCTGTCTTGTGGCATGGTGTTTCAACGGGGCAGTAGGGACACACGTGCTAATAGTTCACCCCATTTCCCCTGCCTGTCACAGCAGTCTCCAAATCAAGGCCATGAACTGGAAGTCTTCTGCTTTTAGCCCCAAAACGGTCGGGTCTGTCTGTCTTCAGATGCCTTCTGGGAGATAGGACTTGGATTATGCATCTTGCTTTGGGGTTCCTGATCCATTTGGATTTTTCTTTCTTTCTGGGCCAACACTCACTGCTAATAAATGTTTTCCTTGAAAAGTATCTGCTCCATCAAGGTTTTCAGATGTAGGGGTATGAAGTTGTTCCTAATTATATTTCTCAATCTCTGGCTCCCCTGTCTCCCCTGCGTCCCCTCTGGCTCCAGCGCTGTTTGTGTCCCTTCTTCTCTCTTGATGCTTTTTGATGAAGGGCTTTCTGTGCCACAAGTCATTTCCAAACAAGCTCTTTATTTTGTTCTTTTTTTGTTTGTTTTCTATTTCACTAACTCGTGTTTTTGTTTTCGTGGCCGCTGTTTTCTTTGGATTGGCATTGGTGCCCTTTCTCCGCTTTCTCAAGCTGGGAGTCTGGTTCACTTGTGGTCTCTGGGCTGGTCAGCTTGTTTTGTTGTTTGGCTGTTGTTGTTGATTCTGTGCCAGTACTAGGGCTTGAACTCAGGGCCTTATATTCTTCTTAGGATTCTTCACTCTAGGCTGGCTCTCTGCCACTCAAGCCACAGTTCCACTTGTAGCTTTCTGGTGACTAATTGGTTAAAAGAGTTTCTTGGACTTTTCTACCCAGACTGGCTTTTTATTTTGGGGGTAAGGAGGCGGTTCTTGAACTCTGGGTCTGG